TAGCAGCCTTCAACTACCTGAAGGGGGGTTCCAAAGAGGATGGAGCTCGGCTGTTCTCAGTGGTGGCAGATGAACAGAACAAGGAGCAATGGTCTCAAGTTGCAGTGGGGGAGGTCCAGGTTGGATATCAGGAAAAACTATTTCACTAGGAGGGTGGTGAAACACTGGAATGGGTTACCTAGGGAGGTGGTGGAGTCTCCTATCCTGGAGGTTTTTAAGGCCCGGCTTGACAAAGCCCTGGCTGGGATGATTTAGCTGGGAATTGGTCCTGCTTTGAGCAGGGGGTTGGACTAGATGACCTCTTGAGGTCCCTTCCAACTCTGATATTCTATGATTCTATGATTCTATATTTTGAACATCTGCACAATCTACTGTGAGTTTTTGTAATTCACATAGCAAAGCCTCTTTTGTGGGCAGGGACTGGAAAATACCAGCAACACTTTGTCCTCAGTATGGCTTCTGGATGTGAGGGCTGAGGATTTACTTTCTCTCACTTCATCTCTGCAGGTGGAGAGCTCTCCCTGTAGTCATTGGCCAGATGGGATCCTTACTCACAAGCTATGACCAATGCCTGTTCCTCTGAGCAGTGCAAGCACAAATGGCAGACCCAAGGGTCTCTCTTGAGCTAACTACAGCCCTGAACTTTTAAAATTCTACCTCTTTTTCATATTTCCTGCTCTACATGGTTACTGCCATTAAATAACACTGAGTTCTTTAAAAAGGCAGCCCTTGCCAGAAAAATGGAATCTTAAGACTACAGAACTGTAATCACAGGGTGGTTCTTCTCTTGAGGTATCAAGTTAAAGTCATTTAATTGGCCCTCTTCCCCAACCAGGGCATTGAATCAGCTATTCATACAGGTGTTTTCCAAATGGATCTTGGTGTTTCATAGATGGAATATATTGCTTTGAAAAAAATTGCATGATTTAAATAGGTTATTATGTTATAGGTTTGTGTGTGTGTGAGGGGGAGATGATATTAAACCTCAGTTCATTGCTTGGTAAAGGCACATGTATAAGCCACATTAAAGATTTAACATCTTTTCCTGTTTAACTTCTTGGTCTGACATTTAAATATTTGTGTAATGGGAGCTATGGTGTAAGTTTCATGGATTATTACAGAGGCCTATGTAACTATGTGAAATCAATACAACACAAAAAGGAAAGAAAACATGAAAGCCAGTCTTATCCTCTATCCCGTGAGCCTAGGGTGAAGAAAACCCACAAACGAGCCAGAATATGGGGAGCCAGAAATGAGCCTTAAAGGCAGCTTAGACTTTGCAGTTTCGTTTTTTTCCTCATTCCCACCCAAAAGCAGCTGGCAAAGAAGAGGAGTGACCAGCACAAGTGAATGAGAGCACAACTGCTCCAAATCCAAAACACAAATGCCACTTCCCTCCACCAGGGAGAAGCACCCTCCATAGGCTGAAGAGTG